TCTATCTATCTATCTATCTATCTATCTATCTATCTATCTATCTATCTATCTTTGTGTGTGTTGGACGTGGTGACTCAGTGGCTAAGACACTGAGCTTGTCGATCAGAAGGTCGACAGCTGAGCGGTTCCAATCCCTAGCGCCACGTAACAGAGTGAGCTCCCATTATTTGTCCCAGCTTCTGCTAAACCAGCAGTTCGAAAGCATGTAAAAAATGCAAGTAGAAAATTAGAGATCACCTTTAATGTAACAGTGTTCCATATGCCTTCGACGTTTAGTCAGGGCGGCCACAATACCACAGAGATGTCTTTGGACAGGGCTGGCTCTTTGGTTTAGAAACGGAGATGAGCACCGCCCCCTAGAGCCAGAAACAACTAGCATGCATGTGTGGGAGAACCTTTACCTTTACACCTTATGTAAAATGATCCGGAGAGTGGGATAAAATCAATAAAAGTAATTTAAAAAATATTTTTGGGAGCTTGGCTTGGCTTGGCCCTTGGCACAGTGGTAGTTTGACATTGACTTGGAACCTACAGTGTGAACTGAGTTGGTTGTTATCTCCAATTGTTGGTTGTAGAATCACAGCAGCTGATAGCTTCTAGCCAATCTTGTCTGGTTTAGGAAGCTAAGCAGGGCTGGCTATTAATTGTATGGGAAACTACCAGGATGGAGACCAAGGCTATAGAGTAGACAACGTAGAAGGAGGCAATAGCAGATCACTTCCTGCTGCCAAGAATATTACAACATGAATGAGTCCACAAAATCACCAGAAGCTAAACTTGACTCAAAAGAGACTTTGCTCTTGTTAATGGTAAAAGAGGAATTGTGCTGCATGTTGCATAGAGATAGATGGAGGTTGTGAAATGCTAAGACCAAGCTTTATTAGAGATCTCTGTACTTTGAAAAGCAGTTGGTTAGGAAAAATCATAACACCTTTCTTTTGCTTTCCAGATCCCGGCCTGTTTTCACTGTCCTTACTTCATTGAAATTTACCCCGGATTCAATCCCTCTGGGTGATCCGGAGTGTGGAAGCAGAAAGATTTCAAGAATTGATTCTCGTGGGCAAGTCAGTCTTTGCTTCACCTTAAATCTTCTCAGCACGAAATGGAGCTCTGGTAACATCTCAGCGTGATTGTTCTTTTGCTTAATAATCTTAATGTTTTAGGTTTTAGGATGCTCCTCTTTCCCTTGTGTCTTAAGTGATGATAATTTACTTTGCAACCACTCTTTTCGTTTGCCATTCTGTTTCTCATCAACTGATTTATTTGCATCCCACCGTTATTATTTGTATAAATAACTCAAGGTGGCAGTTTCCCTGAAAATAAGACCCAACTGGAAAATAAGCCCTAGCATGATTTTTCAGGATGCTTATAATATAAGCCATACCCCCAAAATAAGCCCCAGTTGAGATTGTCAGTCAGACAAGACGCATTTTAGTACTGTATTTCCCCCAAATAAACCCTGCATCTTTCGAAGCAAAAAATAATATAAGACCCTGTCGTATTTTCGGGGAAACATAGTTAATACTCCTTCTGTAAGCCATAGCCATCACATCTTACTACTAACTTCCCCACAACAACCCTGTGAGGTGGGTTGGGCTGAGATAAAGAGATTGATGCAAAGCCACTTAGCTGGTTTTGTGTCTGAAGAAGGACTAGAAATCAGAGTTTCCATAATACAATATAAGATATTATCATTAATATTTAAAGTCCTTCATGGTTAGGGCCTGGCTATTTAAGGCACTGCCTATTTTGTACTCATCTAGTCATTAAGATTTACAGGAGAGACCCATTTGAAAATTGCCCCCTGGTCCAAAACCCAGTATGTGGGAGCAGGCCCTAATCTGTGTTTCATAGCTGTCCTTGCTAGGAAATATCCTTTCACAGAACTGTGTTTAATACTTGTTCATTTGAGTTCTAGAACATCTGTAAAGATACAATTTCAATACAATGTANTTGGAAGGGACCTTGGAGGTCTTCTATTCCAACCCCCTGCTCAAGCAGGAACTCTATACCACTTCAGACAAATGTTTGTCCAATCTCTTCTTAAAAACTTCCAGTGTTGAAGCATTCACAACTTCTGCAGGCAAGTAAAACTACACTAACTAATGTAACTCACATGTTTCATTCCAGGGTGAGCTTGTTCACCTTCAAACGTTGCATGGAATCCCAGGTAATGGACTAGGCCATTTTGGGGCAGCTCTCTCTGCATTAGGAGATATAAGTGGGGATGGCCTTACAGATGTGGCCATAGGAGCCCCGATGGAAGATGAAAATCGGGGGGCCATTTATATCTTCCTGGGTGAAACAGACCGACTGAAGGAAGTACACAGCCAGGTAAGTCCAAATGTCAAAAATAAGGAAGGTAAGAATAGCCAATTGAAGCTTCTCTACCTGGGTTGATGTGCTCCAGCCTTAATGATCACTTTTTTACTTCCTTCTTCCTCACAGCGGATTTCGGCCTCCTCTGTTTCTCCCGGGCTCCAGTTTTTTGGACAATCCATTCAGGGAAGGTTGGATCTCAGCAGGGATGAGCTGACTGACTTAGCTATTGGAGCTCTTGGAAGTGCAGTGGTGCTTCGGTAGGAATGGGTGGGGTGGTAATGGGCATGAACCAGACCTGGGCATTTTATGGGCCCCAGGCCACTTCCAGCCCTTTGGCTGTCCCTGTCTGACCTGCAAAAATTGGTTTTGTTTTGAAGGTAATTGCTAATCCCCCCCCCCCCCATCTTATCTGCATGTGTGTATACCTAAGCACTTTCACAGCCCTATTGGTTCGGCCCTCCACAACAGTCCCAATTTCTCATGTGGTCCCTTGTGAAAATTAGTAAATGCATTAAGCCTCATGGTATTGGATGTGTGTGCAAAGTTCATTAATAATAATAGGGTAGGGTAGGGTAGATTAGACTAGACTAGGAATAGAATGGAATAGAGTAGAGTAGGGTAGAATATAGAGCATGGCATGGTATGGTATGGTATGGTGTATAGCATAGCATAGCATAGCATAGCATAGCATAGCATAGCATAGCATAGCATAGCATAGCATAGCATAATATAGTCCTGGTGGACTCGCTATGCAGCCTGCTTGCAACCAGACAATAGTAAGAGGGAAGGTACTGGAATTTAAGGGAGGTTTGGGAGGGAACTCTGGAATGCAAGTGTGCTGCCTGAAAGTGTGAAATCCCAAGGTTATCGAATGGGAATGTCCGAGGCAGACAGGACATTTCCAAAATAAATCAAGTGCAACTGGACTGGTGGACAATGGGACATGGGAAGCGTAGGAAGGAAAAGATTTCCTATACTGTTGATGCGTGAAAATGTCAGAACTGGCTTATCTACTTCTGTACCCAGATGGCTTTTCAGTAAAGTTATACTGTTGGAGAAAAAATGTCCCAGGGGTTTCTTTTGCTGTCTAATGCAGTGGGATGGTTGGCAAGAATAGAATATTCTTTATTATGTGGTTGGACACAAAAGGATTTAATAAAATATCCATCAGCTTATCTCTCTCATCTATCTATCTATCTATCTATCTATCTATCTATCTATCTATCTATCTATCTATCTATCTATCTATCTATCTATCTATCTATCTTT